GGGGGGGTTGCGGGGGCGGGGGAGGGGCAGGAAGAGGGGGGGAGGGAAGGGAAGGGGGGGTTGGGGGGGGGAAGGGGAAGGGAAATTTGGGAAGAAACGGGCGAAAAAACGGGGGCGGGGATGAGGAAATTGGGGGAAAAGGGGGAAGGAGGAGGGGGGGGAAAGGGGGGGATGGGCCTGGGGGGGGTCACACGGATTTTGGGGGCCCCCCCCAACCCCCCCCCGAGGGTTTCTCAAGCCGCGGTGGCCGCGGGTGACGTCGACTTCCCACCCGGGTCCAGGCGTGAGTCCAGCCCCCGCTCCGGAAGGAGCCGCGGCCTGGGGGGGGCTGAGGGGGGGCTGGGGGACCCCAAAAATCTTCGTCGTCGTCTTCATCTTCATCGTCATCGTTGGGGGTCCCTTGGGTTGGGGGACCCCAAAAATCTCCCTCATCATCTTCATCGTCATCATCATCAGGGTCGGGGGTCCAGGGGAGTCCACTGGGCTGTGGGACCCCAAATGTCTTCATCATCATCATCATCATCATCATCGTCATCGTCATCATCATCTTCATCATCGTTGGGGGTCCCTTGGGCTGTGGAACCCCAAAAATCTTTGTCGTCATCTTCATCTTCATCGTCGTCGTCGTTGGGGGTCCCTCAGGGTGTGGGACCCCAAAAATGTCCCTCATCATCATTACCATTGTCATCATCATCATCATCATCATCTTCATCAGGGTCGGGGGCCTGGGGGGGTCCACTGGGCTCTGGGACCCCAAAAATCTTCGTCGTCATCTTCATCGTCGTCGTCGTCGTTGGGGGTCCCTCGGGGTGTGGGACCCCAAAAATCTTCATCATCATCGTTATCATTGTCATCGTCATCATCATCATCATCATCATCATCTTCATCAGGGTCGGGGGTCCGGGGGGTCCACTGGGCTGTGGGACCCCAAATATCTTCATCATCATCTTCTTCTTCGTCATCATCTTCATCATCTTCATCATCATCATCTTCATCAGGGCTGTGGGTCCGGGGGGGTCCCTGGGGCGGTGGGACCCCAAAAATCTCCCTCGTCATCTTCATCATCTTCATCATCTTCATCATCTTCATCAGGGTTGGGGGTCCGGGGGGGTCCCTTGGGCATCTTCATCATCATCATCATCGTCTTCATCGCCGTCATCATCGCCGCCCATCCCCGCGTCCCTCTGTCCATCCCACACCTGCCCCAGGTGCTCGAAGGGGCGTGGTTATGCAAATAAACCCAGACCCCACCCTCTTTCACTCCCCGCCCACCTTCATTTGCATGAGGGGGCGGGGTTATGCAAAATAGCAACCCCCAATGACGTCACCCTTGAGACGCCCCTTTTGCGTCACGGGGGGGCGGGGCGTGGACATGCAAATAACCCCAGTGACACAACGGGGGGCGTGGCCATGGCCATGCAAATAAACGGGGGGTGGGTAGAGGGGGCGGGATTATGCAAATGAACGCCATGACGTCACCCCTTGCGGGGTCACCTCCCGTGCGCGGGAGGGGGCGGGGCTACGCAAATGAGCCCGTTTGACCTTCACCGCGAAAAGGGGCGTGGCCATGCAAATCACCCGGTGACGTCACCGCCGCGACTCCACGGAAGGGGGGCGTGGCCATGCAAATAACCCCCTGTTACCCGTCGCACCCCCGCACACAGAAGGGGCGGGGTTATGCAAATGACAGCGATGACGTCAACCCCGTTGTGCCTCCTGGTGGGCGTGGCCATGCAAATGACCCCCCTCCGTTTCCCGTCTCCCCCCCGCGCGGGCGGAAGTGGCGGCTCCGGGTCCGTTTCCGGTTCCGGGTCCCGCCCGATGGCGCCGCTGAGGGTCCCGATCCTGGGGGGTCCCCGCGGGCCCCTCCTCGGGGGGGGTCCCCCCGTGGGGGCGGCGGGTCCGGGGGGGGCCCTGGGGGGTCCCCCCCGGTGGCTCTCAGGTTTGGGGGGTCCCTCCTGCGCCCCAAATTTGGGGGGGGGGTCCCCGGGGGTTCCCGGCTCAGGGGGTTGGGGGTCCCGGCGGGGCTCTTTTGGGGGGTCCCGGCGTGGCTGTTCTGGGGGGTTCCGGGGGGGTCTCGGTCCCGGGGGGTCCCCGCCGGACCCTTTTAGGGGGGGGGTCCCTCCGTCCCGGTTTCGGGGGTCCCCGTTGCGGGAGGGGGGGGTCCCCGCCGGACCCTTTTGGGGGATCCCGGCGCCGCCCTTTTGGGGGGTCCCGGGGGGGTCTCCGTTTCGGGGGGTCCCCGCCGGACCCTTTTAGGAGGGGGGGGTCCCGCCGTCCCCGTCCTGGGGGGTCCCCGCTGTCCCCCCGTTTTGGGGGGTCCCGGTTGTCCCCCGGTTCCGGGGGGTCCTCGGCGGACCCTTTTGGGGGGTCCCGACACCCCCGTTTTGGGGGGTCCCCGCTGCTCCCCCCCCGTTTGGGGGGGGGGGTCCCGGCGCTGCCCCCGTTTCGGGTCCCCCCCGCCGCTACCTTTTGGGGGGGGTTCCCAGCGACCCCCTTTTGGGGGGTCCCGCCGCCCCCATTCCGGGGGTGGGGGGTCCCCCCCGCCGCTCCCTGTTGGGGGGTCCCGGCGCTCCCCTTTTAGTGGGTCCCGGCGCCCCCATTTTAGGGGGTCCCCGCTGCTTCTCCGCCCTGGGGGGGGGTCCCCCCCGCCCCCCCCCCGTTTTGGGGGGTCCCCCCAGCCCCGTTTCGGGGGGTCCCCGGCGCCCCATGGCCGGACACAACCGCTGGTCCAAGGTGAAGAACGTGAAGGGGCCGCGGGACGCGGAGCGGAGCCGACAGTTCCAGCGCCTCGGGCAGATGCTGCGAGCCGCCGCCAGAGGTGGCGACATGTCGCGATAGAGGGGGGCGGGAGGGGGCGACAGAGGGGCTGCGGGGTGGAGGGACACAGGATATCGCGATAGAGAGGGACGGGGGTGGAGGGAGAGCGGATATCGCGATAGAGAGGGATGGGAAGTGGCGATAGAGGGGGAGCGTTGGGGGGGGATTTTGGGAGGTTCCCCCCCACCCAGTTCTGGGAGATTTGGGGGGCATTTGGGGAGGGTCCCCCCCCCGGATTTGGGGAGGCCCAGCCCTGGATTTGGGGGGGATATTCAGGGAGGTCGTCCCCCCCCCCCCCCGTGGTGTTTGGGGGGGATTTTGGGGGTTCCCTCCCCGTTCTGCGGGACCTGGGGGGAGGGGAGTCTCCCCCCATCCTTTGGAATTTGGGGGGAGTTCCCCGCGTTCTTTGGGATTCAGGGAAGTTCCCCCATCCTGTGGGATTCAGGAGGGGTCTCCCCCCCATCCATGGGGGTTCGGGGAAGGTGCCCCCAACCCCTGAGGGATTCAGGCAGGGTCCCCCCATTCTTTGGGATTCAGGCAGGGTCCCCCCATCCTTTGGGGTTCAGGGAAGGTACCCCCACCTCCTGAGGGATTCATGGGTGGTCTCCCCCCATTCTTTGGGATCCAGGGAGGGTCCCCCCACCCCCTTATCCTTTGGGATTCATGTTGGGGTCTCCTCACATCCTTTGGAATTCAGGGAAGCTGAAACCCCCCTTTCTTTCCCCCCTTAGAGGGTGGTGCTGACCCCTCCCTAAATCCCCCCTTTTCCCCCCATCCTTTGGGGTTCAGGGGGGTCTCCCCTCCCCGAGGGATTTGGGACAGTCTCCCCCCATCCTTTGGGATCCAGGGAAGGTCCCCCCCTTATCCTTTGGGATTCATGTTGGGGTCTCCCCCCACCCTTTGGGATTCAGGGAAGCTGAAACCCCCCTTTCTTTCCCCCCCCCAGAGGGTGGTGCTGACCCCTCCCTAAATCCCCTTTTCCCCCCCCAGAGGGTGGTGCTGACCCGTCCCTGAACGCTGCCCTGGCTCAGGTGGTGGAGCAGTGCCGGGCCCACAACATGCCCAAGGCCAACATCGAGGCCGCCCTGCGCAGCGCCGTAGGTTTTGGGGGGGTCCCAGGGGGGTTTTGGGGGTCTCCCGAGCCCCCCAACCCCTGACCTGGAGCTGTTTCACCCCTCCAAACCCCCAGGAGCGCTCGGGAGGGGGGTCCCGGGTGCTGCTGGAGGCTCGGGGCCCGGGGGGCTCCGCGCTGCTGCTCGAGGTGCTCACGGACAACCCCCGGCGCTCCCAGCAGGAATTGAGGCTCATCCTCACCAGGAACGGGTGGGTGGGACACCCCTGGGATCCTTTGGGGTGGGTGGGGGGCACCCAGGGACCACCAGGGATCTGTGGGAGGGGTCCCAGGGGTGTGGAACCAGTGGGAATTGAGGCTCATCCTCACCAGGAACGGGTGGGTGGGAACCCCCTGGGATCCTTGGGGTGGGTTGGGGGCACCCTGGGACCCCCAGGGATGGGTGAGGGTCCCCCAGGAGGGGTGAGAGACTCCCAGGGGCTCCCAGGGATGGGTGAAGGGACCCCCAGGGAGGGGTGAGGGACCCCCAGGGATGAGTCAGGGACCCCCAGGGACCCCCAGGGATGGGTGAAGGGACCCCCAGGAGGGGTGAGGGACCCCCAGGGATGGGTCAGGGACCCCCAGGGGACCCCCAGGGATGGGTCAGTGGGACCCCCAGGGACCCCCAGGGATGGGTGGGGGACCCCCAAGAGGGGTGAGGGACCCTCAGGGTACCCCAGCTCTGGATGAGGGTCCCACCCAATGCCCTGGGGGGGGGGTGTGGGGGTTCCCTCAGGGGGTCTCTGTCCGAGGGGGCCCGTCACGGCTTCGAGCCCACGGGGGTGGTCCGCGTGGCCCCCCGGGACGGGCGTGGCCAGGGCGTGTCCATGGAGGCGGCGCTGGAGGCGGCGCTGGCGGCCGGAGCCCAGGACGTGGCCCCCGACGACGACGACGACGGCGACGAGCCGGCGCTCAAGGTGGGCTGGGGGGGGTCTGGGGAGGGGTCTGGGGGGGGTTTAGGGGGGTCTGGGGGGTCCCCACGGCGCCCTGGGGGGGTTTGGGGACGTCCGGGGACGTCACCGGGGCGGCCACGACTGGGCTTGGGCGCTCGTTGAGCGGCTCCGTTGACCCTTGGCCAACTCTTGGCCAATCCCTGATGGCCAATGACTCCCCCCCCAATGACTGTTGGCCAACCCTTGACCACCCCAATGACCCTTGACCATCCCAATGACCTTTAACCACCTTCAATGACCACTGACCACCCCAATGACCATTGGCCAACCCTTGACCACCCCAATGACCACTGACCATCCTTTGACCACCCCAATGACCCTTGACCACCTCAGTGACCTTTGACCACCCCCAATGACCCTTGGCCAATCCTTGACCACCCCCAATGACCCCAGACCATCTCCAATGACCCTTGACCACCACTTGACCCTCCCCAACCACCCCTGGCCCTCCCCAACAGCCCTTGGCCAACCCCAACAACCGTTGGCCATCCCCAAGGACCCTTGACCACCTTTATTGACCCTTGACCATCCTCAGTGACCCCTGACCAAGTCTTGACCCACCTCCAATGACCCTTGACCATCCCTATTGACCACTGACCATCTCCAACAACTCTTGGTCACACCAATGACCCTTGACCATCCCAATGACCCCTGACCCTCCCCAATGACCCCTGACCACCCCCAATGACCGTTGACCACCCCAATGACCCCCAACCCTCCCCAACGGCCCCTGACCCTCCCCAATGACCCCTGACCACCCCAATGACCCCCGACCCTCCCCAACGGCCCCTGACCACCCCTTCCATCCCCCCCCCCC